ACGATGCGTTTGTTTCTGAAAATTATTTTTTAATTTTTTTTTATTATTAAAAAAATTAATCAACAAAAAACACTTTTCAGTTAAAAAAATTTGACTTGATTTTCAAGAAAGTGTTTTTCTTTTTTATTATGTTTGTTTTTCAGAAAGTGGTTTCCGAGAAATCACTTTCCAAACTTTCTTGTATTTATTTGATATTAGAAAAGTTGGTCAACGGAAAATACTTTCTAGTAAAGGAAAATTTAACTTTGTTTTACAATTTCATTCCTTATAATTTGTTTTTATATTAACTCTGGTCCTCATTTTTATAATTATTATTTACTTTTCCCCTATTATTTTTTAATTGAAATTTTTTATCTAGTAAATTTGGTCTTTATTCTTTTGATTATTACTTATTTTATTTGAAATAATTTATAAAATATTAATTATTATAATTTTAATTTCTTCTTTTTTTTATTTTTTAGATTTGATCTCTATTATTTTGATTATTATTTATTTTATCTGAAATAATTTATGAAATTATATTTTTTTTTCAATTTCATTCTCATTCAACTTTTTAATTCATTCAACTTTTTAATTTGTAAGATTTATTCCTTATTATTTTAATAAATTTGAAAAAAATAAAATATTAATAAGTTATTTTTCAGCTCATTTTCTATAGTGTAATTAAACATTAAAAAATATTTTTCATTACACTATTAAAATTTAGAAAATAATTTACTTTTTAAAAGTAAATTATTTTCTAGCAAACAAACGAAATGAATACTTTAAGGAATATTTTGATTTGTTTTTAAAGTGTTATTAAAAAAATATATTAAACATTTAGCCTTGATTTATTGCTTAAATAGCTTGTTTTAAGGAAAAGATTTTATCCCCAGTAGAATTATGTTCCTCTCTACATCTAAAATGAGACGCTCTTGTTTTTTCAAGATTTATAGGATTACCCATATCTTTGGAAAATGCAACATATTATTATTTTATTGATTAATTTTTATTTATAGAATATTATATTTATGATAAAATATCTTAAATATTTCATTTTATTTTTAACTTTTTATTGGCAAAAAAAATAAATAAAGACCTATTTATTTTTATTATCATTCAAATTTATTTTATCTTTTTATGTGAAAATAAAATGAAAATGATAAGCAACAGGTTTTTATTGTTAAATGTTTTTGGTTCCATAGGGTTGACTGGACTTTCTGAAATTTCTTTTTCTACGATGGCTTGGAGGCTAGGAACTAGAGGGGAGAAGATGAAGATGAGTTATGGCAAAAAGAGAGAAATTAGGGGATTTGTTTTTCATAATTTGGTGATAAAGTTGTAACATTAAATTATTAAATGTTGGACTTTTTAGTTATTAAATCAATTATAATAAAAATCCTCTAATTATTTTTAAGTTTTTATTGACTAATATTTTGGGTGTTCAAGTTAGTATTAAGATACTTGAAAACTACGGTTGAAAAAAAAGCAATATGTAGAGTAATTTTCTCCTCTTAAAAGGAAGGAAGGAAACGAGCAATCACTGAGTTCACAAATTATATTAATTATCCCTAAAGCAATCAGAGCTGTAACATAATAAATGGCTCAACAAATTTAATGTTAATATATTAAAACCATATAAAAATATAATAAAATTTAATTTTAAATAAAAAAATTCGAAAATTTTAAAAATATAGCTTCAATACTAATCTCACACACAACCGAAGTCTATGTACTGACACTACTTTCTTAGATTCATTGTCCATTTGTGCGTGTCAAGGGAATATAGGGAGAGGGAGGGACCCTCTGCTTTCAAGTTGTCTACAGGCTTGATGGATATGGACACCCAAGATATGAAGGTAGGGTCATTTTCTTCGCCTTTGCATGACTAATTTGACAGCAGTGGTTCGTGGAAGATGCTGCTAGCTGCAATCAATTAATTGATACAGCGAGGGAGGGACCCTCTGCTTTCAAGTTGAATGCATCTCCCCATTCCAAAACGCACTTCATTTCATCTCTATTTCACAACTTTTTCTTCTCTCTTTTGCTCAATCTTTCTTCCTTGATTTCCCAAAGAAAACAAGAGAACATGGCAGCAGAGCTTTTTCTTACGTTTGCCATGGAGGAGACTTTGACAAGGGTCATTTCCATAGCTTCTGAAGGGATCAGACTTGCCTGGGGATTGGAAGGACAGCTACAAAAGCTCATGCAGTCCGTGACCATGATCAAAGCTGTGCTCCAACATGCAGCCAGAAGGCCCGTAACAGACGAGTCTGCGAAGCTTTGGCTGGAGAAGCTACAAGATGTAGCTTACGATGCTGAAGATGTTCTAGACGAGTTTGCTTATGAGATTCTCCGAAAAGACCAAAAGAAGGGAAAGGTACGTAACTGCTTTCCACTGCACAACCCTGTTGCATTCCGTCTGAATATGGGTCACAAAGTTAAGGAGATCAATGGATCACTGGTTGAGATTCAGAAACTTGCAATTGGCTTTGGGCTGGGAATTGCATCTCTACATGTAGAGAGTGCTCCTGAAGTTATCCGGGATATAGACCGAGAGACAGATTCCTTGCTTGAAAGCTCGGAAGTTGTCGTAGGAAGGGAGGATGATGTCTCTGAAGTTATGCAATTGCTGATTGGCTCGACTGATCAACAAGTTCTATCTGCTGTCCCTATAGTGGGGATGGGTGGCCTCGGAAAGACTACGATAGCAAAAAAAGTTTGTCAAGTAGCGAGGGAGAAAAAGCTTTTTGATGTAACAATATGGGTTTGTGTTTCTAATGATTATAGTAAAAGGAGGATTTTAGGAGAGATGCTGCAACAGAATAATAAATCTACTGGTAGCTGGTTGGGCACCTCTATTGATGCAATAATTGAGAACCTGAAGAAAGAGCTGGAAAAGAAAACATTTCTTCTTGTTCTTGATGATGTGTGGAATGAAGACCCTGATAAGTGGGATGATTTGAAGGAGCAACTGTTAAAAATTAACAGCAAAAATGGGAATGCTGTTGTTGTTACAACCCGCAGTAAGAAAGTAGCAGACATGATGGGGACTTCTCGGGGGATTCAGCACGAGCCAGGGAGACTTTCAGATGATCACTGTTGGTCCATTATCAAGCAAAAGGTGAGCAGGGGTGGAGGAGAAACAATACCTTCAGGCATCGAGTCTATTGGAAAAGAGATTGCAAAGAAATGTGGAGGTGTTCCATTACTTGCTAAAGTTTTCGGACTAACTCTTCACGGAAAGCAGGCAGAACAGTGGCGGTCAATTCTAAACAGTAGATTTTGGGATTCTCCGGATGGAGATAAGGCTATGCGCATATTGAGACTCAGTTTTGATCACCTGTCATCGCCATCACTGAAAAAATGTTTTGCATACTGTTCTATTTTTCCTAAAGATTTTAAAATTGAAAGGGAAGAGCTCATTCAACTTTGGATGGCTGAAGGTTTTCTCAGGCCATCAAATGGGAGGATGGAAGACGAAGGCAACAAGTGTTTCAATGACTTGCTTGCAAATTCCTTTTTCCAAGATGTTGAAAGGAATGAGTGTGAGATCGTAACAAGCTGCAAGATGCATGATCTTGTGCATGATCTTGCATTGCAGGTCTCAAAATCAGAAGTGTTAAATCTGGAGGAGGATTCGGCTGTTGATGGTGCATCTCATATTCGTCATCTAAATCGCATGTCTCGTGGGGATGATGAGGCAGCATTAACAGCGGTTGATGCTAGAAAATTGCGAACTGTTTTCTCAATGGTTGATGTATTGAATGGATCTTGGAAATTCAAAAGCTTGAGAACTCTCAAATTGCGAGGGTCTGGTATCACAGAGTTACCAGATTCGATTTGCAAGCTGAGACATTTGAGATATCTTGATGTCTCGGATACTGCTATCAGAGCATTGCCGGAATCCATCACCGAGCTCTACCATTTGGAAACATTAAGATTCACTGATTGCAAGTCACTAGAAAAACTTCCCAAGAAAATGAGGAATTTAGTGAGCTTGAGACATCTTCATTTTGATGATCCAAAGCTAGTGCCAGCTGAGGTGAGACTCTTAACACGCCTTCAAACTCTGCCTTTATTTGCTCTGGGTCCAGATCATATGGTTGAAGAGCTGGGATGTTTTAATGAACTAAGAGGAGAATTGCAGATAAGCAAGCTTGAGCAAGTGAGAGACAGAGAAGAAGCTGAGAAGGCAGAACTGCGTGAAAAAAGAATGCACAAATTGGTGTTTGAATGGAGTGATGATGAAGGCAACAGCATTGTCAATAGCGAGGATGTGCTGGAAGGCCTGCAGCCTCACCCAGACATAAGAAGCTTGACAATTGAGGGTTATGGAGGTGAAAATTTCTCATCATGGATATTGCAACTCAATAGTCTGATGGTGCTGAGATTGAATGGCTGCAGCAAGTTGAAGCAACTCCCAACACTTGGATGTCTTCCTCGCCTGAAGATTCTAGAGATGAATGGAATGCCTACTGTGAAATGTATAGGCAATGAGTTTTATAGCAGCAGTGACAGCGCAGGATTTCTGTTTCCAGCACTAAAAGAACTCACTCTATCCAGTATGGAAGGTCTTAAAGAATGGATGTTACCGGGTGGAGAAGTCGGTGCAGTATTTCCTCGTCTTGAAGGGTTGCGCATTAAGAAGTGTGGCAAGTTGGAAAGCATTCCGCTATGTGTTTTTTCATCTCTTGTACGATTTGAAATTATAGGATGTGAGGAACTGAAATATTTGTCTGGTGAGTTTCGTGGCTTCACATCTCTTCAAATTTTAAGGATGCGTAGCTGTTCAAAGCTGACATCCATTCCAAGCGTACAACACTGCACAACTCTAGTTGAAATGAGCATACGGTGGTGCGGTGAGTTGATCGCAATTGCTGGTGATTTCCGAGAATTGAAATATTCTTTGAAGAAATTAGATATTTTGGGGTGTAAATTGGGAGCTCTTCCAAGCGGACTACAATATTGCGCATCTCTAGAGGAATTGCAGATATTGTTTTGTAGTGAGCTTATCCATATCAGTGATTTACAAGAATTGTCTTCGCTTCGAAGATTAAAGATAATGTATTGTGAGAGGCTCAACCGTATTGATTGGGATGGTTTACGACAATTGCGTTCTCTTGTTTATTTAGAAATCAGTTGGTTTCGGAGTTTGAGTGATAGCCCAGAGGATGATTGCTTAGGCAGCCTCACCCAACTGAAGGAACTGAGAATCGGTGGTTTCTCAAAGGAGCTGGAGGCTTTTCCTACAGGACTTACAAACTCAATTCAACACTTGAGTGGGTCCCTCAAATCCCTATTCATATATGGATGGGATAAACTTAAGAGAGTACCACACCAACTTCAACACCTCACTGCCCTCGAGACATTGCATATAAGTGGTTTCAACAGATGGGAATTTGAGGAAGCATTGCCAGAATGGTTGGCCAACCTTTCTTTTCTTCAATCTCTTACTATTTGGAATTGCTACAATCTTAAGTATCTGCCAAGCTCAGCAGCCATTCAACGCCTCCCCAAATTAAAACGTTTGGAGATTTATGGATGTCCACATCTCTCGGCAAATTGTAGAAAGGAGAATGGCTGTGAGTGGCCCAAGATTTCTCATATCCCATCAATCAAGATAGAGGGTACACTTGTACAGGTAAGTTGGGATTTAAATTTCATGTCATTTAATAATAACCAATAAGATTATTAGTGAGATTACAAATACGATTAAAGGTATAATATTTAACCTATATTTGTTAAAAATTACAAATTTAATGATAATGACTTTTACTTTAATTCTCGCAAGAACATAAAAATAAAAATTGCCTAATCATTTCTTGCGTACGCCAATCACTTTTTAACTGAGCTAATTTCATTTAATAAAAACCAATAAGATTATTAGTGAGATTACTAACCAATCACTTTTTAGAGCTAAAAACACTCTTTAATCGACCCCAATATTTAGAAAAGAAAAGGGCAAACTTGGCTCCAGTTTATATAAAATATAAATTAATAAATTATATATTTATAATGTATTATCTAACTCCAACCAATACAAGTAAAAGTTTTTTTTATTTTTAAAAAAGTCAAATGTTAACTTAGATAAGTAGTGATAGGATTGATTTAAAATATAAATTTCAGTGGTGATTAAGAACATTATTTTTTGAAGGTAGTTAAACTATTGAAAAGGTATTTTAGAAATTTCTTAGATAATGATTTTTTCATTGATTTTTATAGTGGAATTTGTTTTTTTTATTTATTGTATTCATTGAATTGAATATGCTTCCTACACAGCTAAAGCTACTTTCAACATAAATCATAATATTTTTAGAAACTATGAAGCCATCCCATTTTCCTGATATTTTTTTCTCTACTCGATCAGTTGATTCATTCTGCATTTTGTAGTTTAGCGTTGTTTATATTTCCAAAACTAATACCAAGTTGGCTATTTTAACTATCATATGTGCAGCAAGACCTCGAAGACTCGGACCTCAAAGACTGAAGGAAGCCATGGAATGGTTATTTGAAGCTTATTCAGAATAATGTTTGTCAGGCTAGATATATGTGTGACCCGCACAATTTTCTCGTATCTTTATGAGATAAGTATATTTGTCAAAATGTAAGAAAATGGATGGAGCAGGCAGCTTATCACCAAGATAGAAGAGCTTAATATAGATATGGATGTGAATTCGTATGTGTAACTTCTATTATCTTATATTTGATTTTGTTATTTAACTTTAAAGGATTCGTTTTTTATGAGGTTATATATGTAGATGTTCTTGGGCAGGAAGAGAATTTCAAAGCTGAATTTTGTAATTGTAGAAAGAACAATGTTCTTACTGAATAGATGATTATGCTGATGTACTCCAAATTTCTGAAGAATTATTGTACTTTTTGTCTTGTAAATCTACCTTCATATTACATAATATGTTGTTATTAATTCATAATTCACGGTTATCTTCCTTGATCTCTCTCTCTCTATATATTGTTTTCTCTTTAAGTACTTGAATATCTAAAATAAGGCATAAAAGCTATATGATAAAAATATGGTTGATTTCACAAAGTCTATTCGGACTTCAATTAGTTGCAGAAATTTCAAGATTTTCTATTGAAAAGCTTCTGACCTGCAAGTATATATCTTAAAATTAAATACTTTATATAAATATGAATTTAACGATGATTTGTTAAAATTGAAAAATTATAACCATGAAGTCAATAATTTAAAATGTTATTAGACTTTTACTTTTTAAAAAAAAAAATTACCTAATCATTTCTTGCCTAACCAATTTTAACTTAGCTAATTTCATTTAATAACCAATAAGATCATTACTTAGATTGCCATCGAATCACTTTTTAGTAGCAAATACTATTAAAGCTAAAAACACTCTTTAGTTGACCCCAAGATTTTAAAAAGAAAAAGAAAAAAGAAAAAGGCAAGCTTGGCTCTAGTTTATATATAAAATATATATTGATAAATTATATATTGATAATATATTATCTAACTCCAACCATTTTGAATTTTAGCGTTGTTTATCTTTCAATGACTAACACCATGTTAGCTATTTTAACTGTTGTAAGAACCTCATGTTAGCTATCTAACACCATGTTTATCTTTCAATGACTAACACCATGTTAGCTATAATATATATTGATATTTTTTTTTATTAGAGCAAGTTGAAGAAGCTTCTCTGGAATGTGGATCCTCCAAATATAAATTTGGTTTAAAGCTTCTTGTTGAGCTCAAAGCATAAAATAGTTTTGAAGAAAAAATGCTGCAAATAATGGTTCCAAAAAAGAACTGGAGGAATGAACAACCAAAATCACCAAAATGCACAAAGATACTTGAATTGGCAGATTAAATTCACTTCACAAAGTATATCGATCACTCCAACGAGAGGGGTTATTGCTTAGGAACAGGGATGACTAACTGATTAGATCACAATTCACAATTTCAAGAACTGAGGCTTTATAACTACACTACCTGAAACATAACCACAAGTATTTCGATACAAGAAAATTGCAGAACAAATTGCTAACATAAAAATGAAGTACCAAAAACTATAAAAAAATATAACGAGATCACTAATAGATATATGCTAATAAGGTTGTATTCATATATATAATGGCTGAAGATCATAATTAAAAGTTCTGGAATTATGTTCTTTAGCTGATGAATATATTGTGATCGGTAAGTTTCCTGTATTTTTCTTTCACATTGGTGGGATTGTATGATGTATAAATTAAGCTCTGGTGGGCTTAACATCAATGGAAGAATCGAAATTACTGGTACTCTGTCTCCCTTCTTTATCTCTTCCTTCATGTTTCTTTCCTTTTGTGTTGGTGGTTTTGGAATTTAAACTAAAAATAGAGGAGAACAGTAGAAGTAAAGAAAATTAATTATTATAGGTCTTTTTTTCTGTCTATCATTGTCTTAGTGCATTTATCTTTTTTTTCTTTCGTTTATTTGATACAAAATTATTATAGGTCTTTTTTTATATAATAATTAATTATTATATAACAAAAGTAAAATACATACATTCAATAAGTCTCTTAATTTCCCATCATGTTGTGCATATATCTTTTTTTCCTTTAACAATCTTTCTGCAGATGAGTATAATTTAGCAATTTTAGTATAACTTTGAATTTGAATACGGTCCACATGTATCCTAAGTAGCATTCAACATATACATAATTCTATGAGTCTTTCTTCTCTATAGCTAGCTTCAATTTTTGTACATTATATATCTTTATAGATACTTATTAAGATTATTTCATTTTGTAGCTAAGTAGGCAATTATCCACGTGTTGAGTAGATTAACACAAACTAAAAAAAATATTTTAGAATATTAACCTTCCATACATTTGACACATTTGACGCAGTCCTTGAGAACAAGAAGAATAAAGGCCTCTTAAAAAACCTGATTATAGGGCCGAGATTGCTAACAGAGGACCAACATGAACAGCACCTTGCAAAGTCATAAATCTAGTGATGAATAGGGTGCTGAGCCAGCAAAATGAAACGAAATGTTGGACAAAAAACAAAAAGGGTAAAAGAGTGCAAGCACAATGTATAAGAGAAAACAACTGCAGCAAGAAAAAAAAACACAAAAAAGGAACTGCTTCCAGAGTAAAAATGGAGGTTGGGAGCATAACAACTGTGTAGAAGCAAACTTAAAAGAAAGATGGTTAAGGATTGAGTAAAGGAGGGGGGTACTTAAAGTAACAGCTATGAAAAAGGTAAAAGAGTGCGAGCACAATGTATAAGAGAAAACAACTGCAGCAGGAAAAAAAAAACACAAAAAAGGAACTGCTTCCGGAGTAAAAATGGAGGTTGAGAGCATAACAACTGTGTAGAAGCAAACTTAAAAGAAAGATGGTTAAGGATTGAGTAAAGGAGGGGGGTGCTTAAAGTAACAGCTATGAGAAGCTAAGAACACATACAAGTGAAAGAAAAAAAGTGATATGTACCGTCAGATTCTTGAAAGAAGACCAAGAAGCTGACTGAGGAGAGAATGGGCGTGATCCTAGCAGAGTTGACAGCAAAACAGTAAGGCAAGTGATAGATGTTCCACAATAAAAATTAGAAAACAAAGGTAAGGGAAGAGGAAAGAAGAGTAGAACAAAAGAAAAGAAAACAACACTATACTAAAGAAAAGTCAGCACAATTATGTTTCAAAAAACCAAATCCCAAACATTTAGAAACCAATGAATTCTTTTAACTCCTTTGTGCATCATCCTTTATGCAACATATAGCCTTGGAAGTGTTGAAACATCTAGTGAATCATCTTTAAAGCATAACCAAAATTTTCTAGGAAATCTCATTAGCATTCAAGTAGCCATAATTAAAGTAAAAAAAAAATTGAATCTTTAAACATGTATCAACAAGCAACATGAAGCTACTTATGAACACAAAAGCAACCACAGAAGGAAATTTTTTCAGCACCCAGCCAGCCACAACCAAGAGCAACAAACTTGAAGTCTAGAACATCCACAAAGGAACAACATCATAAAACAACACAAAACAACTCATGAATGCACTAATCTTTAAAGGAAAAAAGAGAGAGCTGAAAAGGACCTCAATGGTTGGCCTTACCAGCAAAATAAAACTACATAAACTCACCCAACAAAGCTGGAAACGCAGGAGAAGAGGCCCCACGTAGCAAATAAAACCCAAAACCGAAAAAACCCAACGCATAAGATGCCAAATCTTCTGGTTAACCTATCAAAACAATAAAAAAAAACCCAAAGAAAAAACACCAAATAGGGATTGCAAGAGCAAAAAATAACCCAAAGCCAAAATGGATGCAGAGCAAATAGATCAAAACAACCGATACAGCCACCGCCCAAAAACATTCAACAAAGATAAGCAAAACCAATTTTCACAGCCATCCTCACAATTGAAATAAAAAAATAACAATGAACAGATGTTGCCAAGAGAAAAAAAGAAAAGAAAAGAAAGAACCGAAGCCAAGAACAGCATAGAGAAAACAACCAAAAAACAAATGCAAGAAAGAAACCGAGAGAGCACACAACCACGCTTTTCAGGGGGGAAAAAACAACTAACCATCCGTTACCCTCTTAAATAAAAAAATTAGACAACTTGACACGAAGGGAAAGAATCTAATCAGGGCAGCTATGATAGCCAAAGCAAACATGGCAGCCCATCCTAAAACGAAGTGAAATGGAGTGGTAAAGGGGTGCGGGAAATAAATAAAAAAGCAAATCAAATGAAACTGAAAATAAGGCTTTACCAAACCTGGCTCCATGAAGACCATACCTAGCCACCAACCCACAGAGAAGATGGAATGGCCAGGCCCTAGGAAAGCGGTCCCAAATGAATAGGACGCTCAATTAGCAATTCCCCGGACACAAATTATAATCTGAACAACTTGCCAAATTAAAGCGCTTTTTATGGGCAATCATTACAGTGCACCGATCCAGGAATGAATGACCTGCGAATCAGAGGAAAAAAAGCCACATCAGCAACGAGATGTCTCACAAAAGCAAGCCGAAAACTCAATTGAAAAGGAGAGAGGAGAAGGGCTAAGAAGCTGCAGATCAAGAATCTCTTCCACGTCTTTGAGTTCTAATAGTCTTATAGGTCAAATTCTTTCATCCATTTCAAACTTACAAAACCTGTGGCATCTTAACTTATCCAGAAATAAACTCTCAAATCCTTTGCCAGTTATTCAAGGTAGGGGTCTTCCTCATCGATTATCAATAGACCTGACTTACAACAACCTCAATTTAGGGTCAGTTCTTGATTGGATCAAAGATAAAGAACTTTCAGGTGTTCATCTAGCTAACTGTAAACTCAAAGAAAACCTTCCAAAATTTACAAAACCAGATTCTTTGAGCTCTTGAGACCTATCTGATAACTTTCTAATGGATAACATTAGTGGTTTCTTCACCAACATGTCTAATTTGCAAAAGCTCAAGCTGTCACATAACCAATTGAAGTTTGATATTTTAGAGATCAAATTGCCAGATGTAATATCCTCAGTGGAGCTCAAATAAAATCAGCCTAGTGGGTTTCTCTCAAGGATTTTAAACAACAGGGCAAACAACTTTCTGGAGATTTTAAATGTATCAGATTTCAGGCACAATCCTGAAACTCATAAAAGGATTAAGCTTGAAGGTTCTAAATCTTATAAGAACATTCTCATTAAATCAATAAATTGAGGAGATATTCTGAACTCACATCCTTATTTTCAGCATACCCTGCCTTAAGCTCAGCAGCCTTATCCACATAAGGCTTCTTCTCCTGAAACAAATCGAAATCAAAACATAACAGTTACAGACCACTCTCATCATTCAATAGCTTATAAATGTCCACCAATGATTTATAGAAAAAAGAGAGATAAACCAACACTCACTTCATCAGTCATTAATTTCCATCTCTCACCACCTTCCCTTGCAACCTGAATTTCATCAAATGCAGCATTAGCATTACTATACTCTTTCCTAAGATCACCCCTTATGATTATTAGTATATCAACTTGAACAACATAATAAAATTGAAAATGACAAAACTATTACGTTTCATTTATCTTCTTAACATCCTTAGAGTGCGGGTTGCCTTCCTTATACTCTTTCCTAAGATCACCCCTAATTAAAGAACAACACACATCAATACAAACCCCACTCCCCATATTCACGCATTATCATCACATTATATTACACCACACAAACAAGCAACAAAGAGCATTATCACATGAGGAGAAAGAAAGTAATGGGAGGTCGTTTCAGTGCATTTTGATCATTGCCCTTCTCTTTCTTCGCTTTCGGCTCTGTCAAGATTGCTGTCTTCCTACAAACCAAATCACTAATTCACAATCCCCAAATCATGACAAACAATCAGTTGATTAATCAGATAAAAAAACAAAATCAATGCCTCTTAGCATCAAGACTACATTATGGAACTGAACTAACCATAATTCATCTTGATTTTAGCATCAAGACTACGGCCTTGGAAACTTATAAAGCCACTGGCAAATCCTTCTTGCACTCTTCACTGCATGAATCAATTCAAAAAAAAAAACAAATGAATTACTTCATTGATTCCTTAATTAATTTCTGCAACCGGGTTCCCTCTTTCTTAAAAAATTCAAAGAACCATGATTGAAAACCCCATAATCAAGTCGAGAACACAAAACTGGAGACACCCAGAAACAGAGTTTGTTCAAAAATCAACCGGGTTACTCAATTTCTTCAAAAAAATCAAAGAACCCATAATTTTAAACCCCAAAATCAATTCAAGAACACAAAAATAGAAAAACCCAGATTTAAAAAAAAAATCAAACAAATCATAGCTACATTTCTTGAAAATCTTCAAACTCAAATTAATAGCACAAATAAGAAAACCCAAAAAAAAAGTAAAAAGAGGGGGGGTAACGCAAGTAAATACCATTTAACAAAAACCACTGTCATCTTTTGCACGAACAAGTGAAGCAGCAGTGGTAGTAGCAAAACCATCAGTAGACTTGGCTCCTCCTCCTCCTAACTGCTAAGAGATTTTAAAAATGAAAATAAAAGGAGAAATGTGCGTGTCTGATTGACTGGGAACCAATCTGGATAACATCTAGAGGTGCCTTAGTGATGGAAATGGCTGGTAGCCAAGTTCCATTCACGGTGTTTACAAGTTAGTGAGCAAATAGAAGAAGAGAGAGATAGAAGCAGAATTCCACGCATTCAGCTCAACATTCATTCATTATGTTCATTACTATCCTTCTCCAATTCTGTTACAGATCTTATATATGAAGATAACTTCCTATATTCTCGCTACTGGCCACACGTGGCATCTTTTCTTAACAAACCCTGCGCTAATAAAATGCGCGTATAGTTATAACTAAATCCTAATGGTCATATTGTCTAAGGTTCATTTGCTTTGAAAACAACCTTTGTGTCCAGTGCAATTCCTTCCTCTCCCTCGAATCAAACTTAACCTGTGACAAGAAGGAAATTTCAGTTATGACAGCTGTAAAATGGCGCCAAATTGTTGGGTTTGTTATGAGAGGGAAATCATTTTGACATGGAGAGATGACTTGGACTTCCTATCCACCATTGAATTTTTCTCATATTTTTAAATCAACAGCTTGGATTCAATCTCTCATTTTTGTCTCGCCCTCCAAGAAACCCTCGCAGAGTACATGGTTGAGGTATATGGAATGGAACCCCAGTCGCTAGAGGTATTTATAATAATTAATTAGTATCTATTTGTTTTATAAACCATCGTTTTATCTTTTATAATTGACTATTTTATCAAGTTTTTAAGTAATTTTGTCTTTTTTTAATTTGAAGATATATAGTCATCAAAATAATATAAAAATACTAAAAAAATATTAATTTAAAACAAAAAAATAAAATAATCAATTTTTTTCATAAACACTCTTTAAATGCAAAAACAAATCTCCATTGATTTTTCGGGAATAAGCACTAAAACACAATTAATTAAAGTGACATGGAAATAAAATAACAATAAAAAGACATTATTTTTCTACAATCTTAAATTTCAATTTCAGTGTTTTTTTCTTTCTTTCCCTAGAGAGCTGTTGCAATTTTGTTTATTACACGTAGATGATATTTTGGTTGCAAATAGCAATTTGGGTTTGCCACATTAAACAAAGCAATGGCATAAAAAGATTCACAGCAAATAATAGAAAATATTAAAATTTGCTTAGAAGGACAATATAAAAAAGGTTGTGAAAAGATTTTAAATGATAATTAAAAAACTTTATTATCCATAAAACGTGACTTTATCACTGGAAAAATATACAGAGCTTAGAATTTGAGAATATTTTTTTAGATTTAGTTAGTTTTTTTTTTATTTTAGAGTGGAGATGCTTACTATGAGTTAGTTTTATGAGGAAAAAAAATAGTAAAAAATATATGAGGATTTTGCATCTAAGTCTGTATGTAGCCATTAAAGATAAAGATGGAAGCATCGTCATTAAGATTTTATTGTTAATAAAAAATAAAATTGCTTTGTTTTTTCAATAAAAAAGTATTAATGTTAATCCAGTCAACCAAGATCGGTCAAACATTTTTTTTATTCAACCTAAAACTTAAACTTGGATGCGGCAGTGCGAGGCCTTCTCTTTTCCATCAACATTGTTTTCAAATTGATTGTTTTAATTTCTTTCTGTTTATTTCACTTGTAAAATAAAATTACAATCCTTTTGATTTATGAATATGCTTTTGTTTTTTCTTGATTTTTAAGATTAAATCCTCAAATAAACATTTAGAAATACTTATTAAATTAATTTAAATATACAAAATCAATATATATAGAAGCATTACATTTTTATCAAAACAGATAATTTAGCCTGGTCTCATCCTTCTGCGTTAATAACACGACGTAAACCAGTAAAGCCAGCAAACGTTATAAAATGGAACAGAGAGGGTTCTATGTGAAAGATAGTTCCATTATATATTTTTGTAACTTCTAGATTAATTATTACGATATTAGTAATCAATTCCTGCAATCACATACCTTTATCAGTGTTGTCGTTTACAGTGGTTTAGGGTTTTTTTTTATGTCTATTTCAATTAATAATAATAATAATAATTTAATTACTCGATAAAAATATTATAAGATAATTGAAATTCTAGAACAAAAAAGTTTATTACAAATAAAATTTACAATCATAATCATAGTTGTTATAAGGATTACTGCTTATTAGTTACAAGCCTACTAGTTATTCTTCTATTAGTCACCAGCATGCTGAATCTTCCGGCCTACATGATTATTAGCTTACTTGATAAAATCATTCCTTATTTTAAGGATCGTGTGACATCTACACTATTTTTGCTTTCAAATTATACCCACGTTAATCCATTACTTGTTTTAAGGATGTCCCGATATACATATTCTTTCCTACATAAATCTGGATTTTTATTGAGCTTTTCTAATAATAAATAAATATAAAAAAATTTAAAAAATTATTTTTAAAAATTATTTTTCAGAAAATAAATATGACCTTAGTATACAATCAAGTTTGATGAGTTTTTTAGAAATATTTGACAGTACAGCAGTGGTTGTTTTTTAATGTATTTTCGTTCAGAAAAATATCAAAATAATTTTTTTATTTAGAATCATTGTTAATTTCTAAATTACTAAAAAGTATGTAAATGCACAGAGGAACTGAATAATATGGAACCTACTTATTCTTCCTTTACGATACGAGGAATCTATGTGAGAAGTGTGATAACCTAATTTTTTATTTTTTATTTTTTTATTTTTATTTTCATTATATTTTTTGAAAATGATAAAAACATAAAAAATAATGATGAAAAACAAATAAATAAATGAAATAAATGAATAGTAAATTAAAATTTGGATTAAGGCAATATGATTGGAAGTTTGAGGATTTAATCAAACTTTTGATTAGTTTAATTAATCAAATCAAGAGATTAATTGAATAATTAATAAGTTTTGGAACTTAATTGAACTTGAAATTAGTTTAATTAATTAAATCAGGAGCTTAATTGAACAAATATAAAGTTTCAGGGCTGATTTGGGTCATAATTGCAAGGAATTAAACTCTAAGTAACAAACTGAAAAGGTGGTGGTGCTGTAGAGGGCTTAATTGATTTTTCTAGGAGTAATTTTAAAAGAATAAAATGTTTAAGAGTCAATTAAGGACTGAATTAAAAACTTATGAAACCAGATACTGTTTCGTAACATGCTTTGAAATGAAGGGGTCCAATTAAAGTTTATCCAGGGGGCTTGATTACAAAACGTCAAGGACCAAAACGCAAATGGCCATTAACATCAAACGGCGCCGTTTCCAGACCCTGTTCACCTTCTTCACCCGACCCCAAAATACGGATACACAACGATGCATCGCCATTACTCCTGCAATAACAGTCACGTAAGCTCTTTATTATCTGGGTAACGGTATGGCATTCTCTGGCTATTATAGCCAGAGAAAGAAAGCAAAGAAAAGGAGAAAAAAGAGGGTGAGACCGTTATACTTCGTCTTCAGTAGCAGCTCCAGAGCTCCATCTTCAGTAGCCACTGCATCAGAAACAGGGCACTCCAGGACAGAAACACAGGGACGAACTGGAGAGGAGACGAAGAAGAACAGGGCAGCACGGTCGTCCAGCACAATGCGCCATCGTCTTCGGCTACGCCTCGCTGCACCAGGTCAGCCGTTTCTCGTTTCTCCCCGCCTTGCATTTCAGAAGGTAATTTTAATTACCTTCGCACTGTGCAGCGCATGCGTGGATAATTCACGCATGCGGTCTACATCATTGACCGTCGGATCACTGGCTTGAGCCAGTGACCAGGTCAGACTGGTCTGACTCAGCTCAAAAAACAGAAACTGCTATCACCAGGCTGGGGGTCAGGCCCATCCGACTCAATCTATTTTAGGCCCAGAAAGTGTTCGAAAAAATATACCCTTCCTTGACCCTTCATTTTATTTCCATTTGTTTAGATATTTAGCCAAATGAGCTTTTTGTAAAGTAAGAAAATTTTAAAAATATTTGTGGGTTTATTTATATTTATTTATATATTTCTTATATTTTTTAAGGTGTTTGACTGTGTAATTAATATGTATATTTTTAATGTGAAAAAAAATCTAGTGTATAATTTTTTTGTAAATAAATAAAAATATATACCTGTATTAATTTAAATTTATTTTATTTATTGATGATAGAATCAGAAATATCACATGTTTTATTTATTTGTTATATAATATTTATCAACATCAAAATAAAAAAAATATTTATTGATATTAAAATAAAAATTATTATAAACAAACTATGATGACATTAACTAACAAAGTTTTACATAAAGATTGGTGAATCATTTAAGTTAAAAGATTCATCTCCTCCATCAAATTAGAATCAGATTACGTACATATATTTTGCCTATTGATCATAAGTTCTTTTTATCAATTCTAGTGAGCGATTTTTTGTAGAGTCAATGACAAGGTGGTTTTCTCAAGAGTGTGTGACAGTTTTTATAAGTCTTCAATATTCTTATGAGTTACTGCTTAGCTCAATCTCAAGCTCTTTTGATGCAGTTGTGCTCGTGGAAACTTAGAGTTTTGAATATTTAAATGAGGATATGTCACAAATAAGTGGGTGTTTGGAAATGTTGCAAAACATGTTTTATAAAAATTAAATTTTTTTTTTATCTAATTCTGTAGAATGTATCAGGAAAACAAAAATAAAAAGGTTTTGGCAGCATATGAGATATAGTATCCTCGACTAGATCCTCTCTTTGCCTCTCCTCAGGCTCTTTTCTTGTCATCACATCTTTCCTTGTG